TCATGAGATGTGGACCTGAAAAGTTCCCAATCTGGACCACATCAAGATTTGGGGTTGCGAGGCTTTTGTGAGGTGGCGCCTCACGATAAGCTCGAACCTTGAAGTGAGAGGCGTATTTTCATCGGCTACCCACAGAGATCCTTTGGTTACATCTTCTACAGACCTAGTGATAATGTGGTCTTTGTAGCACGGAGAGGAGTCTTTCACGAGAGAGAATTCATGAGCCAAGGAAATAGTGGGAGGCAAATCAACCTTGAAGAAATTCAAGAGTCAAGTGGTGAAGGAACCTCAAACCCTAGCAATCAACCTGAGGAGGAAACTACTATTGATCCGATAGAAGAGCCTGTACCTATGAGGTGTTCCACGAGAGTTAGGAACGCACTTGAGCATTACTATGGTTTCCATATTACTGCAGGAGGTGATACTCTTATCAGTGATAGCACACTGGTAAATCTGGATGAACCTAACAACTACACGGAAGCCATGGCAGGTCCTGAGGCTGCTAAATGGAAAGAGGCTATGGACAGTCAGATACAATCCATGTATGACAATCAAGTTTGGAACTAGGTTGACAATGTACCTGGTCGTAAGACAGTCGGATGCAAATGGATCTTCAAGAAAAAGACCGAAATGGATGGTAATGTACACACTCATAAGGTGCGACTAGTTGCAAGGGGCTTTTCTCAAACTCCGGGAGTTGATTATGATGAGACCTTTTCACCAGTAGCGAAGATTAAGTCTATTAGGGTTATGTTAGCCATCGCTACACTTTATGATTATGAAATAGGCAAATGGATGTAAAAATCGCTTTCCATAATGGAAAGTTGGCCGAGGATGTTTACATGAGTTAGCCAGAGGGTTTTTTCAGTACGGAGCACCCTAATATAGTGTGTAAGCTTGAGAAATCCATCTATGGATTGAAACAAGCACCTTGCAGATGAAATCTTTGTTTTGATTAGAAAGTCAAAGAGTTTGGCTTTTCAAGAAGTCAAGATGAATCTTGTGTATATGTCGAGGATAGCGGGAGTATAGTTAGATTTTTTGTACTGTATGTGGATGACATACTACTTATAGGGAATGACATACCAATTGTGCAGGAAGTGAAGTCCTGGCTTGGGAAGTGTTTTGCTATGAAGGAACTTGGAGAAGCTGACTATATCCTAGGGATAAGGATTTTAAGAGACAAGAGTAAAAGACTAATTGGACTTAGTCAGAGTACTTACTTGGATAAAATGTTGAATAGGTTCATCATGTAGAATTTCAATAAAGGAGAGTTACCAATCTAGAGTAACGTCAAATTGAGTAAGACTCAGAGTCCGAGTATAGAGGATGAGATAGAAGAAATGAGTTGAGTACCGTATGCTTCCGTTGTAGGCTCGATCGTGTATGCTATGACATGTACTCATCCTAATGTGGCCTTTGCATTGAGCATGGTCAACAGATATCATGGGAACCTTAGCAAGGCTCATTGGACTGCGGAAATGAACATTCTCAAGTTCTTGCGGAGGACTAAGGATTGGGTCCTTACCGTCGGTGGGAGTGATGACTTCAGAGTATTAGGGTGTAGTGATGCTAGATTCCAGACTGATAGGGATAATTTCCGCTCTCAGTCAGACTGGGTCTTTACCTTAAATGGAGGAGTAATTTCTTTGAAAAGTTCCAAGCAGGAGATAGTAGCTGATTCAACTTGCGAATTAGAGTATATAGTGGCAAGCTAGGCAGCAAAGGAGGCTATATGGCTAAAGAAGTTCGTTGGAGACCTTGGAGTTACACCAGCTATAAAGGATCGCATAGAGATTTTTTGTGATAGTGAAAGTGCAATTTCCTTAACCAAGGAACCAAGGGATCATGGGAGACCCAGACATATTGACAGAAAATACCATTTAATCAGGCATCAAATAGAAGGACTCCATGTGGCAAAGAGGGTATCATCGGATGAGAACCCAGCAAATCCCCTCACGAAGGGACTGGGTAGGGTTAAGCATCTCCAGCATGCGAGGCGCATAGGGCTGAAGGATGATATTAGTTTTAGTAATTAGATAGCTTTGACATTTGTAAAGTGTAATTAACATTTGATGATAAATAAAAGTTGTTGTTTATTTATAAGTAAAGTGTTGCTATCTTCTGTCTATCGTTTCCTATCATTTCAATTTGCATATTTTCACTTCCAGAATAATTATGTTATGGTGTATCATATTATTCAAATTCTTCACAATTGGTCATATGTTGGAAGTAGATATAAATTAAGGCTGTCATGAGTTAGCTTGTAGATGTCTAAGATGTTGGACATAGCAAAGTGTTGCTACAACACTCATGAGTGCTCATAAGTTATGAGTATTGGATTCAACTCATGCTCACTTGTATCATTTCATGGAATTTATCTCGAGTGATCGTCAGATGGTAATATCATATAAGTCTTCAAACCTAGAGATATGATTTGTTGCCTATGAATTGGTTATGCATTGATTGTATGAAAACGCGTTGGTAACTCGATGTTATAAAACGTGTCTTTGTGTATAATTCAACAAGTAGTAGAAAAAGCATTTGAGTTGAAGTTTATCTGTTCCCTCTTGGATTAGAAGCGATATCTGGGCCCCTCGATGATTTTGTGTTGACCCATGTACCAGGCCCAGTCAGAACTAAATTGATGTGTTTGATTAAGTTCTATGTCAAACAAATCGGAAATCGGGAAACAAACTGTTTGATAGTAAGTAAGACATTGTTCCATGTATTTCTCATGCTGATATCTAGAACAAAGGATTATATGATCACTTATCTTAAATGTCGTATCATCGTCATCTCAGTTCTGCGAGACCTTTAAAGAGCTACGATTGCTGATCGGTTCCTGAAGTCATTTTTGTAGTTATAGTTATTAGACATATCCAACTGGGAGACTGTTGGATTAAGTTTCTAAGTTCATAACTATTTCTGGAATGTACTTCACCCGGTTTACATGGTCCATTTGGGTTGCATGGAATTGCAACACTTGGATAGAGTAAATGAGAGAAAGTACACTTAAGGTTTTTTTATATATTATCAGTTCTAATATATTAATAATATTATTTAATTGGTATTGATCAAAGAATGAATTTGGAATTAATTAAGTGATCAAATGTTGGGTTAAAAATATGGTTTATACTTTTCTTTTCTGGGCAATTGTATTTTTATGTAATATTTTATGAGTTTACGGCTAGGTGGGTGTTTACGACCGTAAACCCGTTCACGGCTGTGAACTTGTGTTCGGCCCATGTTCCTTATAAATATAGGTGTAAGGGGTGAGGAGTAGAGTGATGAGTGAAAGAAGCAAGGAGCTTAAGTGTGTGAAATTTAAGGTGTGTTCTAGAGAGAGAAAATTAATCTTATGTAAGGAACTTCAATCATATGCATCAATACATTTAAGATTCAAGTTATTCTTCTTCTCCTCCTTCTTCTATTTGATATGACACCATCCAATTGATTGGGATTCTGCACCATCAATTGTATTTGATTGATACACAAGCAGATTAGGGACTTACAATTGGTATCAATTTGATCAAAAAGGGACTAATTAAATATATGGGGATGATTGTGTAAATCATCTATTCTTGTATAATGGGCTAAGGATCCATGGTTTATATGGATTGGGTTAAACCCATAAGGTTTTCCATGGATAGTCCATGGAGGTTACAAACCCATGGATCATGGAATATGAAAAGGCAAGCACATTAGGGATTACATGGAGTAACTCTACTTGTGACACAACTATATAAGAACCCCATGACTAGCAAAATTGGCACACTAAGAAGAGAATAAGAGGGCTAGCCGATTTTGAGTGATTAGTGTCTTCTCTCAAGGTTATTCCAAGTGTTGTGGTGTTGTGTGAGACATTTGAGGCATCACACTTGAGGTGCTAGGCTCACAAGGTTCTCAAGGAATCCAAGCAACAAGAAATGTATGTTTTTATTACTAGCTTTATGATTCAAGTTCCCATGCTATGCTAGATAGTCGAGGAACCTTGGAAAATCAAATTTACATGTATCATAGTAAGACATAGATCAAATGTTTCTAGGGTTGCATGTACACCTTAGAAGTGTTAGAATGCTCAAAACCTATCAGGGGATGCCCATGGCACTTGGTTATAAGACCATGTGGGGGTGTCAATGGCATTCCAAGTAAAACCATGGGGGGTTCCCATGACACATAGGTGTAAGAACCATGGGGAGCCCATGACATATGTTTGTATGCATGGCCTGTATGGTTGATATGCTTATATGGTTATGTGGATTGGGAGGGGGGAGGGGTATGTTATGGGGAACTCACTAAGCATTAGCTTACAATTTGTTGGTAGTTTCAAGTACTTCGGGATCTAAGGGCAAGAGTCTGGCCTGATGGCTCGGCATGCACTCTCTGGTGTTTTTATTGGGGACACTCTGATATTATGAATAAATTATTTGATGTTATGGATTTTGAAAAAAATGTGATTGAAATTTTATATTTTATGGGAATCATTTCGTTACTTAAAAATTGAAAGTTTTTATTGGAAATTTGGGATGTTACACAAGACACAACTATTCCCATAATGCCAACTTCTCTACAGATCACTTTTACTTTTGAGGGGGAGTCTAGTTGTAACTTTCAAACTACTATTGGTCCGGATGACTCAATATCTTCGAGAAAGATTATACAAAGTAGTGAAAGATGTGGCTAACATCAAACACTCAATGACCTTGGTTGATGATGATAATATGATAATTGAAGATACTCATCCTAGCTCTCTAGGAAGTAGTCCTCCACCTCCACCTCAACCACCCCAAACTGAAAATGCCAAAAATAGGGAGAATAATCAAGAACTAATGATGACTACAACAAGTCCATCTTATCCTGAAATGTCTGAATCAAGAAGGGATGATAATCAAAAAGCAATTTTTGTTGTTGAACAAGAGAGCAATGATCAACCCATTCCAGAAGTTGATAATGATTAGTCTAAGATTGATCCTGATGATTATGAATGGTTTCTCAATATGGACTTCATAAAAAAACTTCTATGTGTTCTATTCCTGTTAGTGTTTTCTATCCTAATACGTCGTCAGAGGGGGAGATTCCTCAACGAACCAACAATGACATATAGTCTTATGATGATCAACTCAATAGTAGAAAGAGGAAGGCTTCCTTCCCATGGGCAGCAAAATAATGCTGAAATTGGAATTTCCTCAACTCCTTCTCATTCCAAGAAAATCAAGTTAACAGTTAATATGAAAGAACTCGCTAAGAACTTTGAAATGACTACTAAGGAGGTTAGAGAATTCAAGTTGGAACACAATGCTTCAGTTCGGACAAGAAAAGAGTAGTGTGAATCTATCAAGCTTGTTTAGAACCTTACATCAGCTAATGCTCAAGAGACTAATATTCAACGTTTCAATATTGATGTGGCCAAAAGAAATAGAGTCTCTGAGCTGAATGAACGAATCAATTGGAAGAAATTTGAGAATGTTCTAGGTCGAACCTAATACCATCATCAAAGTTAAAAGAACAAAACCCATGAATAAATCTCTTAAATTACACGTGGTCAGGAAAAAGACAGAGTATGAATCCAGTGAAGTTATATTCACTCGAGAATTGGTTAAATATGGCTACGGTGAATGGATACAAATTCAGGAGATAATCTTGAAACATAAAGGTGTTTGTAACACCTTGTTTTGGGTCGTTCAATAATTCAAGGCCGTGAACCGATCATCAAGTATCATATTGCTTTGAGCCTTGGAAAGGAGAGTTTTAGGACCATTTGGATGGTGGATAAGCTGGTTTATAAGTATTGAGTATCCGGTTCACATTCTGAAGCGTAATGGTATAACGGGAAAGTGATAGTTCATACCTTGTATGAATTTTGGGTTTAAGCTCAGGAAGTTGAAAGGTAAAGGAGACTTAATATAATTATAGAGATTCTCATTACCTTTCGGTGGATATAAAGAACATTGAAATCAGAATTAGAACAAAGAAGATATGGCCTTCAGAAGATTGGTTAATTAGTCCCCTAGCCGAGTACGTTGGGCGTACTGGCTCGGTGTAGGATTGCGGAAGCATCCACATACGTTGGGCGTACGTGGGAGTAAGCGGGGCATACGCTTGGCAGAGAATAACCCTAATTTTTATGGTTTATGTCCTATTTAGACACCTTAAGTTGCCTTTGGGGTTTCTTATGACCAACCTCCATCTCCCAAAACCCTAAGAACGAAACCCTAATTTCCATTTGCTAGATTTGAGCCTGGAAGTGAGTTTTGGTGATTTGAAGGAAGAACACTTGGAGATTTCTTTGGAGTGGCTTGAGCTTGTACATCTAGAATCATCATCAACTTTACAATCTAATTGAGGTATAAAGCTCTCAACTTGATGATTCCTTATGCTAAATCTAAATTAGGGTTTTATTTGCAATTTTTGGGTCTTTTAATCCATATTTTAGAGTATAATCCACTCCAGAAGCTATGAATGGTAGATCTTAGCACCTTTGAGTTCCCTTGTGCATAAAAATAGAATCTTTATGAGTTATATTAGACCATGCATGTGTTAGGGTCCTTAATATGGCTCTCTTTGAGTTTTCGGTCCCGTTAAGTCATGCATGGGAGTAAAGTTGCAAACTTTACGTGTTAAGACACCATTTATGATCAGATCTGAGGGTTTGGTGTTGTAGCTTAACCGATTAAGTGATTAATAAGATGGGTTGGTTCTCTGTGGAGTATGTTGGGTGTAACCTACTCGTATGTTGTACATAATAGCCCCGTAGGGAGTATGATGTCCGTAAGTCTGAGTACATTGGGCATACTTAGCTGTTTGACTTTTGTTGACTTCTGCGTTTTGGGCCATACTTCGACTTTTAGTGTTTGGCCTTGTTAGGCTAATAGTATTATAAAATTGGGACATTATAAGTTTTTAGGCCTTGTTGGATTAGGCCCATGATGGATTTTGGGACCAATTAGGAAGTTGGGCTACGTTGGTCTTTTTGTTGCAATTGGATTTGGCCTTGGATTTTGGGCCAAGTGAGGAATGGGTAAAATAGATTTTTATCCCGAGTGTTGGTCATCAGACTAGGATTCCAGTTATGGGTTGTGAACTAATTATTAATTGGATAGGGATTTTTCTAAATCAGCAGTTCAAGATTTAATTGAGAGATTCTTCACTTGAGGTGAGTTTTCTCATTATATCTATGGGTCGATGGCGCCAATGCCAACCCGTTACTTGTTATGTGGAATTCTAGTTCTCTCTGTGATGCTTTCATGAAAGACCAGGATCTGGCCCCTAGCAATTATATGAAAGACCATGATTTGACCCCTGATAATTGCAAGGAAAGACCATGGGGGTGGCACATGGCACTTGTATTTAATATCAGGATTTGGCCCTTGACATTATAGGGAAATACATGGGATAGCCCATGACACTAGTATGTTTTGGTATGTGGTATTTTGGGGAACTCATTAAGATTTGTGCTTATGGTTTCAAATATATGGTTTAGTTACTTTGTGTAATCAACCAAGCTCAAGTAAATGATTACCAGAATACCAATACATGTTAATATGATATATGATATGAATGTTCACATGCTAGGATAAGGCTAAGGATAATTTTAGGAATTGCATTATACATCAGCCTGATATCTGATGCCTTGTAGCCTAGGAGAATTGGATGATATGCTAGATTTGGAATCTACATTGGTAGAAGTGATTGCTAAGTGTATGTTTTAAAATTTGTATACGACTAGGATCATATAGCCTTAAAATGATTGATTTGATGTTATTTCATACCCCTTGTTTGGTTGTGCTCGGAGGGTAGAGTCTTTAATTAGATGGTCTATTTGATCCTGTATTGTGTATAATTTGCTTGCATAAGGCAACCAGCAGTGAGAATAGATGTTCCTAGCATTTGGTGTAGTAAGTGTGCTTGAGACGTCCTTTGTTGTTCTGAAGCTTGGAGTGTTACTGCACGAATGCTGCTTGCTTAGTGCTTTGTGGAACTTTTAGTGATATGAGTTAACTATTAAGTGAATATGTTAAGCTATATGTTGCAAAGGTTATATAATCTCAGAGTGACGGATTTAACCCTATTGCACAACTCTAAATTTGATTCGAACCATTGTAGGTTTGAGTCTTTTACTCAAAGGATTATCAAAGCTTTGTTACATGTGATTCTATTCATGAAGTACTTAGCTAACATTAGTGGGAGTTCTTCAGTAGCTGCTGGCAGTGTGTGGTCGGGAACCTTGGTGTAACGACCCAAATTTTTCAAAAGCAAATTTTCATTTTTAATTAACCAAAACATTCTCATAAAATATGAAATCTCAATGACAATCATTTTCAAAATCCTTAACATCAACATTTTATTTCAAATATCAGAGTGTCTTATCAAAACAATTGCTAAAGAGTGCATGCCATGCCATCAAGCCTTGCCCTTGACCTTAAGCTCAGATGTACCAGAAACAAATCCCCAAACTGTAAGCTAATGCTTAGTGAGTTCCCCAAAGCATACCCCACTCTGTCCACATAATATACCATATTAGCTATAAAAGCTACATAAACCACATAAGCCATGCATACAACATATAAGGATGCCATGGAAACCCTACAAGGTCCTACACCTAATTCCACTAGAACACCCATGTGGTCTTGACTACCTGCCATGAGAACCCCCACATGGTCTTCCTGCCATAGGAACCCCCACATGGTCTTCCTTCCGTAGGAACCCCACACGGTCTTTATTACCAAGAAATAACATAAAAGCTACACATGAAAATATATTGGGATGCCATGGAAACCCCCCAAGGTCTTACACATAAGTGCCTTGGGAATCCCTTGAGGTCATTCATACGAGTATCACAAATAACTAGCATACCACATATCCTATAACCAACTAGCATATCACATAACAAATAATGGACTGGCCTTGGTGCCTTAGATCCATTCGTATGGTGAGGAGACTCACCTTCTCAAAATGCTAAACTGATAAGATAAGATCGGATAAATCCCAACGCACAACTCCAACTCAACTGCCTATAACCATCATGTCATTAACTTGTCGAAATCCCGAAATACCATAAATATCATCTAGGTCAAACTTGGTCAACCCTAGTCAAAGTCCAAGTCAACAGTCAAGGTCAACAAACCATGTCAACCCCAACTCGTCGAGTACATCTAGCAACTTGTCGAGTTCTTTCAGAGTCCAGAAAACCGAGACAAACCCTAGCCAACTCGTTGAGTTGTCTCATCAACTCAACGAGTTCACTCAATATCCAGAATGTGGGGAAACTCGATCCAAGTCGTTGAGTCGCAATGGCAACTCGACAAGTTTTCCATTGCCTCAGCATAATCAATCCTTGCAGTCGAATCCAAACCTCTAAACTACAGATCCAGTCCCTTAAGACAAATACCCCATAAAGTTGCAAACTTTACGTGCGTGCACGACCTCAACTGGATAAAACACTAAAACTACGGTTCATACAATGTTTAGAACGTGGAAAAGGGACTAGACTAGGTAAGGGGAGCAACTTTATGTCTGTGGAGACTTAGAGGTGTCCAGATCTTGAACCATTTCCTCAAGACAAGTCCAAATCCGAGTATGACACCCTTTTGCACCAAAAGTGACCATATTCTTCCATAAGATGAGATCTAAGCAAATAGAGATCAAGGTAGCAACTTTTTACCTCCAAATGGATGCTAACACCAGGTATATGTCGAATCTAAATTCTTCTCCTTACTTCAATCTTTTCAACCTCCAAGTTTCCTTTCAAAAAGCACAAGATTCACTCTCTAAAGCTCACACACACCTAAGAAGGTACTAAAGAGGCTAGGGTTTCTCTCTAAACATACAGGACGATGAGGGAGGACACAAATGAACCATAAGCTCCTTAAATTGGGTACAAACACCTTAAAATTAGGGTTTTTCTTTATAGTGTCTACTCGTCAATTTGGGGCCTTCCAACTCGTCGAGTTGACTCTAAGTCCCGCATCCAAAATTGATATATACTTGTCGCGTTGGGCTCCCCAATCATCGATTCCCAGTACAAAACCCTAAAAACTTAAAGATCATATGATACCTAGAGTAGGAGTTATAAATCTCCTCCACTTGAACTACACATCGTCCTTGAAGTCTGCTGGCAGAAACAAATCCTGGTAGTGATCTCTCATTTGCTCTTCTGGTTCCCATGTCCATTCGTAGCCTATTTGGTGCTGCTATTGCACCTTCACTAACTTCACCTCCTTGTTCTGAAGAACCTTAATCTTCCCATATAGAATCACAACGAGCCTCTCAATGTAGTTCAGGATCTCATCTACCTAAATGTCATCCATGGAAATAACTGCGGCCT